TCAAGTAGTTATTTTATTTTAATTATTATATATAATACTTAAACAGGATTGCAATGAAAACAATGGATGCAATGTACAGATAGGTTGTGTAATGAGTATAGGACAGGAGTTCAGAATTTTCTTGACTTTGCTTTTAGTCACACAAACTTAGGTGGTGTGATCCCATGCCCTTGTATGAAGTGTAACAATGTTTTGCACAAACAAAAGATGAAGTAAATGGTCACTTGTTAATGATGGAATCGTCAAAGGATATTCTTGTTGGTTATATCATGGTGAATTCATCGCTAAAAAGAAACATGTCCCTAATGACTTAAAAACAAATGAAAAAGATGAATAATTGGGATGATTCATGATGCAGCTGGACCTAACCTAATGGATGCTATAATGCAAGAGTTTGTGTGCAAGACACTACGAGCCTCACAATCCTAATGATGTTGAACCTGATGCTTCACCATTGGTTCCAAATAAAGAAGCCCTTAAATTTCTTAAGTATTAGAAGATGCCCAACAACTTTATCCTGGTTGTGATGAGTTCTCAAAGTTGTCAGTCATTGTGGAATTATTAAGATTAAAGTCTTTATGGCAAGTGATAAAGCAGTTGACTGCATAATGCAATGTTAAAAAGGCACTTCCGCGTGGTGAAAATTTACATCTTTTTGTGACGCAAGAAAGCTTATAAGAGATCTGGTTCTTCACTATGAAAAAATAGATGCTTGTGAGAAGATTGTGTTCTTTTCGGAAGGACAATGCAAATATGAAAATTGTTTGATTTGTGGTGAATCTAGGTGGAAATCAGTTGAGAAGAAGCGATTAATCCTAAAAAGAGGGGCAAGAAGATTCCTAGGAAAGTCTTACGCTATTTTCCACTAAAACAAGATTCCAAAGATATTTATGTCATAAAAAACAGCTTTAGATATGAGATGGCATCATGAGGAACGTCCCCAGATGGCATTCTAAGAAATCCAGCTGATTCTGATGCAGGAATCTTTTGTATTTTACATCCAGGATTTTTTAGAGAGCCTCGTAATGTTAGACTTGGGCTAGCATCTGATGGAATCAACCCTTTTGGTAATATGAGGTCGTATAGCACTTGGCAGTAATTGTTAATGTATATAATTTACCTCCTTGGATGTGTATGAAGCAACCCTATTGTTTGCTATCATTGTTAATACTGGCCTAAAGCTCCTGGGAATGACATTGATGTGTACTTGCAACCTTTAATACAGGAGTTACAGGAATTATGGCATTATGGATTTGAGACTTTTGATGCTTCAAAAAAGGAAAATTTTTGCATGCGGGCTGCACTTTTATGGACAATAATGATTTTACTGCATATGCTAATTTGTCAGGGTGGAGTACTAAAGGAGCAATGGCTTGTCCTTCATGCAATGAGGAGACCCCATCACTTGACTTAAATATGGTCGTAAGTTTTCTTACATGGGGGCTTGTCGATTTTTACCAATGAATCATAAATGGTGAGAGAACAAGTCTTCCTTGATGGAAAATTGGAGAAAGGTCTGCTCCCAAGAAGATGTCGGGAGATGATGTGTTGAACCAATTACAAATGCTTCAAACTATTACATTGGTAAGGCTAAAAAGAAGCAGATAATGATAAAATAAAAACAGGCTAAATTGGAGGAAGAAAAGCATTTTTTTTTTTAAATTGCCATATGGGAAAAAGAACTTATTACGTCACAATTTGGATGTCATGCACATTGAAAAAAATATATGTGACAATATCATAGGTACATTATTAGATATTGAGGGGAAAACCAAAGACAACTTGAATGCTCGTCGTGATTTGAAGGAAATGGGTATAAGGAAGGATTTGCATCCAACTCAAAAGGATGGGAAGTGGTTTTATTCAGAGCATGTACACTTTATCTTCAGAGGAAAGACTAAAATATGCAAGTTTTTAAAAAGTGTAAAGGTTCCTGATGGATATTCATCAACATCTCATGATGTGTAAGTGTTATGGAGTGCAAGATAATGGTCTCAAGAGCCATGATTCCCATATTCTTTTAGAACAACTTCTTCCTATGGCAATGCGTGGAATTGTACCTAATAATGTGTATGATGCTATAACTGAGTTGAGCATTTTTTTTAGAGAGTTATGCTCAAAAGTGTTGAAAAAGAAGCATTGGAGCGCCTTGAATCTCAAATTGTAATAACCTTGTGCAAATTAGAAGACTTTCCACCAGCATTTTTTGATGTTATGGTGCACTTAACTGTTCACCTTGCAACTGAAGCAAATTGCAGGACTTGTACAATATCAATGAATGTATCCTATTGAGAGGTAATATTTTGTTTTCATTATTTCATATATCTATTTTATGTTTATATGTGTGTGTGTTAATAAGTTATTAATTAGCTGAAGAAACATTTGTATAGGTTCTAGGAAAATTGAAGCGTTATGTTCATAATAAAAGTCGACCAGAAGGTTCTATTGCAGAAGGGTACATTGTGGAAGAAAGTCTAATATTTGCTCGAGATATTGAAATTGTATTGAAACTAAGCTTGATAAGTTGGGAAGAAATTTTGAAGGTAGTAATGTTGATTCAGGCAAAGGGTTATCTATATTATCAGTGTGGATATCCTTTAACAAGGGATAAGTGTAGGTCGATTGAAATAATGAATGGAAAAAAAGCCTATCTTATGTGTTGAAAATTGTGAAGAAGTGCAACCTTTTTACGGTATGATAGTTTCCTTGTTCATTTTTTTATTGGTGCTTAGTTTTTTTTTTCTTTTTTAATGTACTGTTTTTTCATTGTTAGTTCTACTTTATTTTTCCAAATTGTTGCAGTGAACATGAGCAAGGCATGGATCAGAGGATTTTCATGAATGGTTTCATCATCGAGTAAGGTTTCCTTTTGTAAAATTTTATTTCTATCATTTTGACATTTAATCTTACTATTTTTCTTGTCTTCTTTTTAATAGGTTGTACAATTGTATAAAGAAGAGAGTACATGTGTAAATGAAGATCTATTATCTTTGTCTTGTGGTCCTTTTTATGGTATACAAAGGTTTTCAGGCTATATCATAAGGTTTAGGTTCACACTAAGCACTTGAGGAAAAAGGGTAAAGCAAAATAATGGTGTTTTGGTAAAAGGAATGGTGGAGGATAAAAATATAGATTATTATGGAGTTCTTAATGAAATAATGAACTTCAATATTTGAATGAAAAATGGATTGTGTTATTTAAATGTGATTGGTGGGATGTTCATGTGATTGGAAGAGGTGTGAAGAACGATAAGTATGGTTTTGTTATTGTTAATACAGCTCGAAAATTATATAAGGATGAACCATTTGTGCTTGCATCTCAAGCATAACAAATATCTATGTTAATGATGGTTCCAATCCTAATTGGCTTGTTGTTTTAAAAAGCCGTCGGATAGCTTATGACCTACCATGTGGTGAAAAATCATCTATTGATGAAGAAGTTTTCCAACAAGATAGCTCTAAAATAGATCATCAAATTACAAATATGTTTGAAGATGATGGCGACTTAATCAATTGGAAGAGACATGAGATATCTGCTTCTGTAGTGCGATTGTTGATGATGATCATAGTGTTGATGAAGAGAGAGATGTGAAGACATTGTGTGAAGATTTGCTCATATAGATTATTAGATTGTTTATACATTTTTTTTAATCTTTCATATTATATTTGTTTGACAGCTTCGAGATTTTTGATACAGTTTTATTGTTAAATGATTGTACGACTTGAGTTCATCCCTTATTTTACAAATTATGCTTTCAATTTTATAAAGTTTATGGTTTAGCAATTCAATAATTTGCTTTTCATATTAATACTTTGTGAAGTGAGACAGGTTTTGATATAATAATTAATGTGGTTTTGGTTATTTTGATATATACACCAAGTTTTATATAAAACTTATCTTCCATACAACCAAATATTCTTTTATTATTAACGTATAAATAATTTAAATAGTTTTATTAACGCTGTTATCATCGTCATCTAAAACATACATACAAGTTCATATAAAAAATATGTAACATTATCAATTTTAATAATATCTCATATCTCATACCTAAAATCACTTACATTTTTAAAGTGTTAGTTTTAAATCATATAGACACAAACAAAAACCTTAGAGATCCTTTAAAATACAATTTTTATTTTACAAAAACTCACACTCTTAGCTCGCTGAAGAGTTCTTTTAAGTTAGCTATTGGTTTAAGGTTCCATTTACTATTGACCTTAGTAGTGTGATTAACACTATATTTGACTATAACTATTTAATTCATAAGTAATAAAAATATAATTACTTACAAGATAAATTGAATATCTATAGCTGCATACTATAAGGATTGTAGCAAATTAATTTTCACATTCTTTATTGCTACAAATTCAAATAATTATAGCTAATACACACATATTAGCTATATATTGAAACTAGTAGCTAACAATGATACTAAAATGTTGTCACTACCATGAAAATAAAATTTGTATAGCTAGATACTAATGAGCTACAAATTTTAATATTTTATAGCTAATGTACAAATAATAGCTATATAATTAAACTCGTAGCTAATAATGATACTATATACCAGTACATAAAATGTTTATAGCTAAATACTTTAATTAGCTACAAATCTCAATTTTATAGTAATGCACAAATAATAGCTATATAGTAAAACTCATAGCCAAATAATGATACTATATACCATGTAAATGAAATATTTATAGCTAAATACATTAATTAGCTACAATGTTTTACCATAGCTAATACATTGTAGCTAAATGAATAGCTATTGCCACAATTTTAATAAGTTAAAGCAATAGACAAATATTAGCTTTGAGGGAGAAATTCTTATCACTAAAATTATTTCAATTAGCTATAAATATTGACTTTTATAGCTGTAAATATGTATTTGCTATAGTTTTTCTTTTCGTAGCTAATGTTCGTAGCTATATGTGTATATTGTTGTAGTGAATGGCTCTGATTAGATCTTAATCTAATTGTTTTATTATGTTCAGGGTGGCTTCTGACATTGAACTTACAGGAAGAATTCCTGACTTTACAGGAAATTGGTCAAATCTTAATACCTTGTGAGAAAACTATTCTATTTTTTTTTTAACATTATTTTGTTCTCAGTCACCCCTAAGTTATTTTAGCTTCAAGCTTCTTAGCTAAGAATTGAGTTTCAAACACTGATTTTAATGTTTGAGACAAGGGATATATATTCAGGTATTGTAAACGTTCCTACTTTGAATGCTATGCCAGTATAGCTCAAAATTTCCTTTTTCCATATGTTATTGTAGGAGATTTTTTGGAAATTCGTTTGAAGGGCCGATACCATCATCCTTTTCCAGTCTAACTAATCTGACTGAGTTGTGAGTATTTGCCTGCAAGATTTCATTGATTATGTTTGATTTTTTCAATAATCAATACTAACTATCTTATAAAAAATGAAAATGTACTAGAATAAATTATTTATTCAATTGGAGCTCCACGTCGTTAGCATTTCTAAAGAATATGAAAAAATTAACTTACTTGTAAGGCAACATTGTCAAAGTTCTAATATTTACCTCATATATACTTTTTGTGTTTTTCTTTGTCTTCTTCTTTTGATCTAGACCGTTTGTTTCATATACTGTAGAGAACTAAGGAATAACAAAATTTCTGATTCAATTCCATCTAATATTGGGGACTACCTGAGTTTGCAGTGCTTGTAAGTTATCTATTCTCTGTTCTCTTTTTATTTTTACGTCCATTACTTTTTGTTTTTTTTGCAAGTTTTCATCTTATAATTGTGTAATTCTAATTTTTTTTTCTTCAGGGATCTAAGTTTCAACAATATTAGTGGACAGATTCCCAACTCACTTTTCAATTTGGGTTCGTTTACTTACCTATAATCTACCAGATCTGATTTGTTCCTACTTTTACTTTTACTTTTACTTCCCAGTGTCCTCGTTATATTGAAACAAGACTTTCGTACTCAAGCTTCTTGGAAACAATAATTTAAATGGTACCCTCCCGAAAGAAAAAGGGATAACTCTTCTCAACATGTAAGTACTTTTGACATATTTGCCTTAACCTTTTTACAATATACCCAAAATGGAATGCTCTACTAATTAATGTTTCAATTGAAAAGGTAATAGTTACAGGATGAGTTTATTCAAGAACCCTAGTTTTTAGCAAAAGTCACTCGAGCGAAAGGCTAAACTTACATTTATTTTAATCTATACTTACAAAAGTGCATTGCTTCTCCTGGCTAAATGCTTGTGAATTAACATGTCGAGCTAAGCTTGTTACTTGTACTTGTGGGGTTCTTGGGAAAAAAATCCAAAAGCTTATAGAAAAGAAATAATCAGTGTTATTTTAATAAATTATATACTCAGAAGCAGCTACATTGTGTAGTTAACATTCTACTATTTGGCTACTATTTCTCTTTTTCTTTCCTTCTCCTCATTCTCTTCTTTTCCTTATTTTCTTCTCACCCATAGCTAACTCTTTGTAAGAACGAGAGAAAGCTTAAATCTACTTTTCTTTTACTTTCTATTTGGCTAAGATATAAGACACCGAGATTTTTCATTTTTCTTTGCAATTAAACCCGTCCTATATATTACCTATCTTCATTATTTCCTTAGTCACTCTTACTCAAATTTTTAATTCACTCTTAACAAAGATATATTATTTATTAATGTACCCTTCTAATACCCTTTTTCTCATTGTTGAAAATGAAAAATGATTAAGATAACCTCTCCCCTTGTGGCTGGATGGCAAACCATTCAGCCACTAGGGTTAGCTATACCCAGGAGATCTTGTATTCAAGTTGTAGACTCATAGGAGAGGTACATACCACAAATGTGCAATTACCTTGGTTCATTGGGCTTGTAGGGTGTTCTGTGGCCCTGGGGATTAGGCAAGCTCCAATGTGGGTTTGGATACCTTAGGTACCTAAAAAAAAAAGATTAAGATAAAATATATAATCACAACTAATTAAATAAAAGTGAAATAATAACTGGCTAGATGTTATAAATCAAACTTTTATACATACATATCCCTAATGATTACCTTGATAAGGGGTTACATTGGTATGTAGATTCGAGCTTTGCAATTAATTGTGTTGGTCCAAAAATTACATCTCACAATATTGTGTATGAGAGTGACACTAAGCCTCTTGGTCCAGCTACATACTATTTAGCAGACACAAATAGATGGGGAGTTAGTAATGCTGGATACTTTAAGAAATGTAATGCAAAGTATACAATTAGTTCTGAGTCTATAGTCACAAATACTCAAGAGCAGAAACTTTTCCAAAAGGCTCGAATCTCTGCTTCATCTTTAAGATACTATGATTTAGGCCTTCAAAATGGAAAGTACACTATGACTCTCTAGTTTGCAGAATTAGCTAATTTAACTACTATCGGATGGAAAAGTTTGAGGAGGCGTGTTTTTTATATATATGTTCAGGTATGAATTACATATTTAGATTATTTTAGCCAAATACGCCTCACCTATACATCACATAAATTTATGTTGATATTAAAGCATGATGAATGACCTTAAATGTAATACGTTTCCTTTCAACTATTATTGGAATTTGTTTCAACATTTAAATCTGTTTATTCTAGGGAAATCTTGTTGAAAAAGATTTTGACATAACAAGGGCAACGGGTAGAGTCCTTAGAAGAGCAGTTCAAAGAAAATATCCGGCTTAGGTATCTGAAAACTACATGGAAATCCATTTTTTTTGGGCTGGAAAAGGGACTTGCTTTGTTCCTGACTATCGTTCATATGGACCCTCTATTTCAGCCATTAGTGCTGCCCCAGGTTCAATAAATAGTAACTTCCTTGTTGTCCTTTTTCCACACTTTGGTTGATTTCCTTGCATTATATAAGATATTGAGTCAATTGATGAGCTTGATACAGATTTTGAGCCTATTGTAAGCCCTCCAAGTGGACCAAATCAAACCACTGAGAAGAATAGAACATGCCTAATTGTGGGGATTGTTGTTGTCGTTGGGGTTGTATTTTTGTTACTTGCAATTTTCTTCATTCTCTGAAGAAGAAAATGGCCACAAACTATTGATGACGGTAAATCAAAAGACCTTCACTCACTAACGTCTTATCTATCATATATACTAGCTATGAAAATATCGTTGTTAGTCTACATCTTATTCTAGTCTTTTATTTAGGTTAGCATCTTGGCCGTATGCTGACTTAATCTTTTTAAAATATTTGAATAAGAAGGTGAGTTGCATAACTTATCAAGTAAACTCTGGCTCATGCACAAGAAAGCTATTGTACATAAAAAAGAATAATGTATTTTATTAATGCTTGTTCAATTCATAAAGCAAAGTTCCATTAGTAAGTTCTTAAGTGCATTACAAGATAAGAACTTGGATTCTAGGTTAATTAAAAGGAACATAACTATGCCATCTTTTTGAAATATATGGAACTAAGTTCCTAATAGTAAGCTACATTTGTTGTTGAATTTTTAGAGCTTGTCGGCATGGATGTTAGACCATACACTTTCAGTTATGTGGACCTAAAGACTACTACAGAAGACTTCAATTCTGCAAATAAGCTTGGACAAGGAGGATATGGACCAGTTTATAAGGTAAGTCATTGTTCTAGTCAATACCAAATTAGTGGTGCACATTTGGTGCCTTAATATTAACTATTTTTTCTAGAGCTAAATATAGGTTTGAGCATTAATTTTTGTCCTAGATTAACTTGAAAATACATCTTTTTGGCTTTATATTAATAAATAGTCGGGTCATCTTTGAGTTCTGTTCTCTTTGGTTCATTAAAAATGATCAATTGTTAACTAATTTTTCTCACAATTTTTAATTGAACATTTTACACAATAGGGAACACTAAGTGATGGAAGAGTAATTGTTGTGAAGCAATTATCTATAGCATCCGACCAAGGGAAGAGCTAATTTGCTGCAGAAATTGCTACCATATCTGCCGTGCAGCACCGTAACCTAGTAAAAACTTCATGGATGTTGTTATGAGAGAGCACAACAAATGCTTGTTTATGAATACATGGAAAACAACAGTCTCGATAAAGCATTATTTGGTATGCGAATAGCATATATGTCGTATTTAGTTTTTCTTGGGAGCCCTACCGTTATTTGTCATTTCAATAACATATTAAAATTTTGTGACTTTTGTGAAGCAGGAAAAGGAAGTTTAGGCCTTGACTGGTCAACGCGTTACGATATTTGTTTAGGAGTAGCAAAAGGTATGGCTTATCTTCACGAGGAATCAAGGCTTCAAGTAATACATATAGACGTGAAAGCCAGTAATATTCTACTTGATGATAATCTGATCCCCAAAATATCAGATTTTGGTTTGGCCAGACTTTATGATGATAAGAAGACTCACATAAGCACTCATGTTGCAGGGACAATGTAAGACTTTTAATTTACACCTGAAATTTATTAAAATATTATTTTTTTTGCATTCATTAGATTACTGAAATGAATTTTGCATGTATTGTATTGATGTAGTGGATATGTTGCACCGAAGTATGCCATGCGTGGATATCTTATGGAGAAGACTGATGTGTTTGCCTTCGGCATTGTGATTCTAGAGGTTGTTAGTGGGAGGCCAAACTTGGATTCAAGTTTGGAAGAAGAGAATGTATTTTCTTGATTGGGTATGAATGACATTGCAGTACCAATTTTTTCTCCTTCTACTATTTTCTAGTACTTGATATACAAATTTGAAAGAACGAGGCCAAATCTATATACACACACACACACACACACACACATATATATATATATATCACAACTTCTATCTTTCCTGCTTAATTCCCAGGCTTGGCACCTATACAAGAACAACCGCCAACTCAAGCTAGTGGTTCAAAATTGTCAGAATTCAACGAGGAAGAAGTAAAAAGCCTTCTAGGAGTAGCGCTTTTGTGTACTCAAACATTGCCTTCCTCGAGGTCATCAATGTCCCACGTGATTACTATACTTTGTGGAGATATGGAAGTGAGTACAGTAAATTCTAAGCCTAGATACTTGACTGAATGGGCATTTGATGATGTGACCACCTTCGTTAGTGATGATATAAATAAAGAATGTGAAGATACTAGCCATTACATCTTCTCAACAAGGTTACATACAATGGATAAATCTCCAGAAATAAGTACTGTTGAAGCCCTGCTCTATTGATTGGCTTTTACTTTAGATTCTAGTTTTATTTCATGTTAGTTAAACACAACTGCTATTCATAATTTTTAAAATTTTAAGACCAATAAACTCTAGGAAAAAATATAGGGCATAGATTTTGAATTACTTCTTGTTCAGTAAGCACAAGACTGAATCTTCACTAGGAAATGGAAATTGATTTTGAATTACTTCGTCTTCAACAAGCACAAGGGCTAAAGCTTCACCAGGAAATTGAAATAAAGGACTTCTCAATTGTCAGCCTTAACTGTCGCCGCCTCCATTGGGAGTCACTATGAAAACATAAGGGCTTTGTTTTGGTAACGGCATTGGCTCTTTGGGAAGTGCCAATTTATGAAATTTAAAAAGGGGAATGGTAGATGAAAGGTTTTTTTTTGTCACCCAACTTTAGGGTTGTGCTATGCCAACCGAATGTCAGAGTTAGTTAACATTGTGACCCCTTCTACAGATGACCTCGGACTTGCTAGGTTGTCAGGAAGTGGCGAAAGGGGAGAACCATGATGAGTGTAGCTGAGACGAGAACGGATGAAACTTGCCTGGAAGGAGATCTAGATAAGAAGTTGGCCAGGAAAGGGATGCACCCCAGTGCTAAGGCACTTGAGGTTATTAGGAGCCAGACTCACATTGTGGTTGGGGCGAGTGAGTTGGAGAAAGAAGGTGCTTGTAGTGGTGTCTCGTCGGGACAAAATTTGTAGTGGAAGTACAAGCGCTTTACCTCTACTAGTGAAGATGAAGATAACTGTGATCGCTCAAGGAGTCCTTTGGTGCGAAGGACTTGAACCACAAGGGATGTTAATGTTACGCTAACAATAGGACAAGAACAAGGAGGGTCTACGACGGATATGGTTAGGGTTCAAAAATTGAGCATGAGAGATGGAGATGGGTTGATGGACTCAAGTCGTGGGGCCTGAGCTAGAGCAGGGGTAGGAGTGACCCGAACTCATGAACTGGGTTTCGGGCCAGAGCATGATAAGGAGGATAGGCCGCATAGTAATGATGATGCTTTTAATGCGGGTTTTTTTTTTTTTTTGGGTCAATTTGGGGCACCTGGGCAGGATTGTGGGTTAGGTATCAACATTGCAGATGGGGTTAATGGGCAACAACCAATAGTAGAAAACAATGGGTATCCTAGTGGTAGGGAGCTCTAATGTGCAGCTCTAGAGTTAGGCTACAGTAGTAATGTGGCCTTGGATTGCCACCTGAAGGATAAAATTAGGATAAAGTTTTTTGAGCCGATGATTGAATCTGATGGTTCAACAATAATTTGTCCTCCTCTATCTTATTCCATTTTGTTCAACTTTGGGCTATGAAATTGTGTGAAAAATATGGAATCTATGAGGTTATGATAAACGATAAGGGGGGTTCTTCTTCTTCAAAATTGGGGATGAGGTTGAAATGTTGAAGTGTTTAAAGGATGGGTCATGGCTGTTTAAGAGCCGACCCATTCTGTTGCAAAAATGGCAACCCGAAATGGAGCTCAATAAGGCCGCTTCATAAATCATTCCTATATGGGTGAAAATGTATGATGTCTTGTTGTAGTTTTGGAGCCCCGATGGGCTAAGCTATATAGCGAGTGGAGTGGGTAAATCATTAGGGATGGATAGGATCACCGAAGATACCTATAGATTTGGTGTTGGACGTATTGGATTTGTTAGGGTGCTTGTGGAAATTGATCCTGCCCAGAAGTTTCCGGAATGGATGAGGGTATGGATGCCCAATGAGGTGAATGATGAACCCTAGATACTGGGTATTAGAGTCGATACCAGTGGCGCCCATCACAGTGCCAGCGATGTTTTGTTTTTGGGGATGGGTGTAAGTAATTGATCTACTATATGCAGCGGAAAACAAAAATTCAATCGGTAAATTAATTACCTTTCTTTGCCTAGATCCGAGTATAAATTATACCGTTTACATGTTTATAAACAAAAATCTGTATAAAGTAAATTCATTCAAGGATTAGAATACTTACATACGTTTGGAGGCTCCCTCGAATATCTCTGATTTCGGACAGGAACACTGTTCACGGTACTGTTCAGGGTAACTGTTCACAGTTACTGTTCACGTGATTTTTTGCCAATCGATCCAAAGTAGGATCACACTCACAGAAGTCCACACGAAGATAATTCGCAAAACCCTTGATTATTTTGGAAGAACAAACAAAGGCTTCAAGAATCAAGAAAGAAGAACAAGAAAAGTTTTCTTCTTGAAAGAGAAAGAGATAGGGTGACAAGGGTTTTAATTGAATGAATAATTCTTTAATGTTTTAATTTTAAGTTGCACTTATATAGTGCAACAATTAAAAGCCTATTCCACTTAGGAATAGCCATGAGCTCCAACCCTAGTTCACCCTTGCAACCAAACACCCTTTATGGTATTTTAATTAATTAATTATTATTATAATTAAAATCAATTAATATATAATAATATATTAACATTCAATTAATAATAATAATTCATTTAAATATATACATAGATATATTTAAATATAATCTCACTAATTTAATTTTAATATTAAAATTAAATACAGACAACAACCTCAGCAAATTTAATTGCACTGTGAGATTACCAAAATACCCTTTCGTCTTGAAAGACGAAAATACCCTTCTCACAAATTGATTCTTAAATTATCTTCTAAGTGTGTGACTCGTAGGCTCCTTATCATATAAGCAGTAGTATCGCGATTAATACTAATTAATCGTCTCACTACACACATACCAAGATTGGCCCCTAGCAAGGCATCATGGCTACCCGATAGATTCGGATTCAGCGAAATCGTAGCCTGTCAACGGTTTGGTTACCGTGCAATCAAATCCTTTCATCAATTGTTATCTCATCGAGACTGAGGTATAGAAATAGTGTCAACCTTAGATATCCTCGACATGTTTGTATTTAGTTACTAGACCAATGATAGGTATATTAAATTGGATTGAGCATCAACTCAATCACACTGTGGCCACAGATTTAGTGTCATTACCATTTACTGAATTACCCAGTGAGATAACTTCTCCCGTACCCAGGAGTGATAAATCCTCTATCGATCCACCCTGGTCTCAATACACTTCTCAATGTAGCCAATCACTACCATATTGATAGCTTTGAATAGAACTATGTTGGGCTTATGTCAAACTACACCAATTGGTGCACAAGGCACTCCTATGATCTCAAGTCTAAAGATCACATGCACCACCATCCGTTAGAGGATTTATTCCATAGACACTAGGGTTACCATCCATATGGAATCCTCTGGTGGGTCTGTCCAGTGAACTTGCTTCTAGCAAGCACCCATACGTTGCACCAGGTTGTCGGCAAACAATATTGACAAGTGAGATCAATCACTGCCTTTCGACAGGGTCGTTCAACACTATGATAGCCTTACCATATTATATGTGTCCTTGGTCAGAATAATACTAGGGCTACGGACGTTTCTAGAATGGCCACCATATGTGATTATAGGGTTCTCACTATTAAGATTTGAAACACGTGATACTGTCGTCACAGTTCTACCATCCTAATGACATATATCATTACATACACGATATAGAAGAATATGCCTTTTATTGATAAATAAACATCTATTACAGAATCAATTTTAGAATAACTGATTGGCTCTAGGGCACCTACTCTAACAATCTCCCACTTGCACTATAGCTAATCATTCATGTATTTAATATCGAATGACCTTAAGTGTTTTTCATGCTTCTGCTGAGATAGAGGCTTCGTTAGTGGATCAGCGAGATTGTCATCAGTACGAGCTTTACTGATCTGTACATCTTTCCTCTCAACCATTTCTCTAATGAGATGAAAAAGTCTGAGTATGTGTCTGGACTTCTTGTGAGACCGTGGTTCCCTTGCTTGAGCAATTGCTCCATTGTTGTCACAATAGACATCTATCAGATCAACAATCGTGAAAACCACACCAAGTTCGGTAACGAACTTCTTAATCTAGACTGCCTCTTTGGCCGCATCGGATAATGCAATATACTCATCCTCCATTGTAGAGTCCGCTATAGTGCTTTGCTTGGAGCTCTTCCAGCTCACTGCACCCCCATTGAGATAAAATACAAACCCTGATTGTGATCGATAATCATCTTTATCTGTTTGGAAACTAGCATCACTGTATCCTCTTATAGTGAGCTCATTTTCCCGTCCATAAACCAAGAATATGTCCTTAGTCCTCTTCAGGTACTTAAGGATGTTCTTGACAGCTATTCGATGATGCTTACCTAGATCCGATTGATATCTACTACAAATGCTTAACGCACATGAGACATCAATCTGAGTATATAACATGGCATACATGATGGATCCAATTGCTAACGCATATGGGATCCTCTTCATTCTATCTCTCTCATCATGTGTTTTAGGACACATATCCCTAGAGAGATAGACATCATATGACATCGGAAGAAATCCCTTCTTGGATTCTTCTTTACTGAATCTCTTCAGTACCTTGTCAATGTATGTACTCTGACTTAGGCCAAGTAACCTACGTGATCTATCTCGATAGATCTTTATTCCGAGGATGTAGGCTGCTTCTTCTAAGTCTTTCATGGAGAAGCACTTGGATAACCAAGTCTTTACAGACTACAAGTTCGGTATATCATTCCCGATCAGAAATATGTCATTGACATACAACACTAGGAATACCACTGCGCTCCCACTCACTTTCTTGTAAACACAAGACTTATCTTTGTTCTTGATAAAACTGAATTCTTTTACGGCTACATCAAAACAAATGTTCCAACTCTTTAAAGCTTGCTTGAGTCCATAAATGGATCTCTGCAACTTGCATACCTTCTCAGCTTGCCCATCAAGAACGAAACCATCGGGTTGTGTCATATACACATCCTCTTCAAGGTTTTCGTTCAGGAAAGCCGTTTTGACATCCATTTGCCAAATCTCATAATCATGATATGCAGCAATCGCAAGCATAATCCGGATGGATTTAATCATGGCAACTGGCAAAAAGGTTTTCTCATAGTCAA